AATTTTTAATGATGATTGTTTAAAGTTTCTTTTTATTCTGGAAAAATATTTTACATTTTCTTGGCAGTAGCTTTCGAAACCTGCTTCTTCTCTTTTAAAAATTTGAATTTAAAACAATTTACAAAGTATTTAACAGCCGTTACAGGCGTTTGACACCGTCAGCCACCCACGCTACTAGAAGATATAGAGGCCTCCTCTCTCCCACAGAGGCTCAAACGGTAGTCGGCGAATTATCTGAGGTGTCGACACTCGTCGGTAATGTTTAGAGACTAATCGAACAAACTCAAAAAAATAAAACAGGGGGTTCCACAGGGTGATGTCCTTTCCCCACTAATGTTTAACTTTTACACATCAAAGCTCCCTCAACCACCAGAGGGAGTCTCGATTGTCATGGCGACTGGGAATGGAATTGATGACTTGTGTTCGAAAGTAAACGGGTATGTCTCCGAGCTTGCTCGCTTCTTCTGCAAGGAGCCTAACCCTCACCCCTACAAAATCCTCTGGGACCTTGTTCACCACCTGGACGAAGGAGTTTAGGCTACCGCTGGGAATTCACGTCCATGATACACCAATTCCGACGGTGAATGACCTTCGACAGTCTGCTCTCCTTCTCTGCGCAACATACAAGGCAATAGGCCGGCCGGTTTTAAATTACGCAGCACCAGTGTGGTAGGACGGAGGTGCAGACGAAGCAAACACCGCACTACGGACAGCAACTGGATGCCTTCTGATGTCGCCAGAACACCACCTTCACGACGAGGCGAAAATGCGCCCGATAAAGGAGCACAACACAATACTCTGCAAGCAGTTTCTTGTTGCGAGCCATAAACGTGGTCAACCAAATAGACAACTTCGTGCAGAAGAGTCCTCGCCCAGGCATGTCAGGAGGCAACTCTACGAACTGACGGACGAAGTTCAGAGGTTCATTAAACAACCTCTGCACCCGTCAGCTTATCGGCAGGCCCTGAGCGGCATTCACAGGGAGTCAGTCTCGAGCTATTTAGACTCCAGACCTGCGAATAACGTTCTAGACACACAACCTCCACACATTGACGAGACGGAGCTTCATCTGCGTCGGGAGACTAGAACCACAATAGCCCAACTTCGCTCTGGCTACTGCAGCAGGTTAAACTCATACCTGAGCAAACTAGACGCTGATGTGCCAAATGAGTGTCCGGCATGCAGAGAAACCCCGTGACTCGAAACATCTCTTCATATGCCCGGAAAACCCGACAACCCTAACGCCTTTGTGGACAAACCCCGCAGAAGCTGCACGCTTCCTAGGGCTGCCGTTAGTGGAACTTGACGACAACGACTGAGATACCAACCGACTTGGGCGGGGTTGTTGTAGCCGCTACAACAACAACAACAACCCCGCCAGATCGGTTAACATCTAGCATATAAACAACATGGAAGGGGATTTTCTGGAGTTTATTCATTTAGTGGAGGTAAAATTCGTGAATATTTTATTTTAATACTTCATTGATTTCCTTTAAATTTATTAATTTTAAAAAGTGAAATTTTACCCTTCCAGATGTCTGCTATGATGAGAGTGGCCATAGACAAGTTAAGGACCTCCGTTAGGTACGCTACCCCAGCAGGACCCGAATTTTTCAGCATCAGCTGAAGGCTTTCGCCTTCCCGATGGCCACCTGAACTTCACCGCAAGTGAAAGCAAGGGGGGCACAGGTTGTTGGCAGTTTGTGCAGCCTTCTGGTCACTCGACGCTTGGCTTTGTCCACCGGGGGATGCAGTATGAACTGCCGTCTAAAATAGCTCGCGCATCGCTCCCGGTCCGACGAAGCATGGTCGCCGAAGGAAATTTCGACTCTGTCGTCGTGCTTCGTCGGATTGGACAGCGACCTCACGGTTGACCAATGCTTGCTCACACCAGCAGGTCTTCAGATGCTCCTCCCACTTCTTCCGCTTATGTACGTTTACTAGTTGCCGAATCTCCGCGTTGAGATCCCTGATACGGGGATCACCGGGATCGGCCTGACGAAGGCTATCACGCTCATCGGCTAGAACAGCCGCTTCGGCAGGGAAGTTTGGACGTAGGTCCGTTATACATCCTGCCGGTATGAAGCGAGCTGCAGCAGCAGTGACAGCCCTGCCGAACTTACGTTCACCGAGATGGACGTCGGTTGGTGTGAGGAGCGCTGTGAAGGTGTTTTCGGTAAACTCCGCGTAACCTTTCCAATCAGCTTAAAGTTGATATAGGTCCGGTGTTTGGCGGAGGCAAAGTCGGTTGGTTTATCTATCGAGATGACAATGGGTAGGTGGTCTGATGCTAAAGTCAGCATAGGTCGCCATGCTATGCTGTTTATCAGACCAGCGCTGACTATGTTGATGTCCGGCGAGCTACTGCAGTTACCCATAATCCTGGTGGGTGCGTCGTCGTTCATTGTGCAGAATGTCGAATCGTCTATCTGCTCAGCCAAGTCTATTCCCCTAGGATCATTTGACTGGCTTGAGTGCCAAAGATCGTGGTGCGCATTAAAGTCACCTACTACCATACGGGTTTCACCTCTGAGGAGCGCACCTATATCAGGGTGATATCCTGTCGGGCAGCAGGTGACAGGGGGTATGTATATGTTATATATTTCGAGCTCAACATCGCCTGACCGGATAGCGATGCCCTGACATTCTAGGGTGGTATCCCTCCGGTCGATGTCTGCTTCGATAAGACGATACTGCACGGTGTGGTGCGTGATGAACGCTAAGCCACCACCATTATCTCGCTCGCGATCTCGACGGTGCAGGTTATACCCGGCGCAATTCAACAAAGTTGAATTGCTGTGCAACTTCGTCTCTTGGACCGCAGCTATCAATATACCATGCCGACACATGAAGACGGTTATCTCCTCAATCTTGCTCTGTAGCCCGTTACAGTTAAATTGAAGGAGCTTCATGTGGTTCGGGAGACGTGTCGTGATGTGGGGTGTAAGTGATGTGTGTGTTCTTACCGCCGTTGGCTGTGTGCGCTGCCGTGATGGTTGCCGCCCTGTGGTGGTGGCGGGAGGCGTCGCAGTTGGGATCTGCGACCGAGCAGCGCAACACGGGCTCTCGAAGTTCCCAGTCCAATCTCGCGTGGTACGCAGACCTGAGCATGCCCTAAAGTGGCACCAGCCAAGGCAGGTGTTGCACTTGACTGATGTCACATTACGGAATATCCTGGTCTGACATACCGTGCAGATTGTAGGGGGAACCAGGAGTTGTTGGCGGCGGCGTGTGGGTGGTGGTGCGGTTGTGTGTGTTATGTGGTCTGTAGTGGCTGTGGTACGGTCTGTGGTGTTATTATGTTGTTGTGTTGTGGTGACTGTGTGAGGCTGCTGTGTGAGTGTGTGGGGCTGCTCGGGCGGACTGTGGTTAGCCGTGGAGGCTGCTCTGTTTGAGCAACAGGGGGCCACGTACGACGTGGTCCACTGTCGATGCGTCCGTAGTCCTCTAAAGTGACTCCACCCCTCGCAGGTATTACTTAGTTTAAATTTAATTTACACTTGACAGAGGTGGAGTTGTGGTGTAGTCGTCTCCGGCATACACAGCAGGTGTAGGTTTCTGGCCCTGGGTTTGCCTCGATGTCAGCCCTGAGTAGAAGAATACGTAGTGAATGTAGCCCTATGGACGAACAACTTCTGAGATACTTCGCCGACCTAAACGGGGTTAGATCGCCGAAACAACAGCCCTTGGTCGGGTAAAACCCGAGTCATTCCGGTACGTAGAACCGGCGGTCGTGGGAATGTGGTGGGGTTGTTGTAGCCGCTACAACAACGACAACATCCCTAAGCGCGACCAAAGGCCGCCTCTGCAGAGAGAAGTTTTGGCTCTCTTCTCCGGCAACACAGAAAGGAGAATTCCGCGTAGTAAGGGTTATGATACCTAGGCGCGGCTATAGGCCGCCTACGCAGAAAGAAGTTATGCCAGTCTTCTCAGGGAACGCAGAAAGGAGAATTATGCGAATGCGAGGTAAGGCTTATGATCCCTAAGCCCCGCCGATGGACGCCTACGCGGAAGGAAGTTATGCTACTCTGCTCCGACAACACAGGAACGAAAATTATACGTAGTAAAAGTTATGATCCCTAATCGGGTCCGAAGGGCGCCTACAGAAGCAAAAGAAATGTTATGTAAAAATCAAGTACTTACAAACAGAATTACATAAATAGAAACGCAATCTAAATTTAATTTAATCTCTTTAATTGTAAAAAACTTAAAATTTTTCACATTTAGGGCCAGTTTTTCAGTGTTAGTTTAATCTCAGTTTAAACGAAGTTTAGTTAAACTCAGTTTAAATTTAAACTATGTTTAAACTACTGACCAGTTTTTCAGTGCGAGTTTAAGGGCCCTTCATAGTTTAGTTGTTTTGTAGGCAACAGTGTTTTTTCTTTATGCAGATACAAAATTTCAGCCATCTATTTTCACTTTTTGTACCATCGCGTTTAAAGTGCTGAAAGATTATAGACGGAAATTTAAAGAATTTGGTAAGCCGCTTCATGTGTAACCCGACCAAATTGCCCTATGCAAGAAAACCCAACTCAAGTTGCGTTTGTTAATTTTCTTTTGCACAATTTTCATCGAACGTATGAACATTTCGCATATTTATTTATGTCCGGCTATACAAATGATTCTGTTTTCGTGTATTTCCCAAACAATTTTAATTTTTTTCCTAATATTTCATCTAAATTGTGCAAGCTGGCAACTTATTGTTATTGGCATCTCTAATTAAAACCTTTTCTAAAAGTAATATATTTGCAACACCTTGCAGAATAAACAACAGTAGAATAAAGGAGATGCCGTGAGTTTCGTTGTGGACCATGAAGTTCACAAATACCATTTCCGCTTTCGGATTATTATTATTGGCCTTAAAACGCGTCGATTGATACCCCTTCCGACTTTTTGAATGAGTTTTGGCCATCTTCCGCCAGATGCACTACTACCAAAAACTGGCGCTGGAAGTAATTTGCAGTCGTAATGCTAAATAACTTAAAATATGTTGAACTTACCCAATACTTTACGTTGCGGAGAAATTAATATGTTTGGATCATCTCCAACATTGGAACTTCCAGCACTTGCAGAATGACGGTATTCGTATAATTTGTCTTTAGTACGTTGCCTGATATGGCCATTGTTTCCCGCAGAAATACTGGTACACAATATGCCATCCTTAACATCCGTAGGTGTTTGTGACCGGGTATCAACCGGAGAGTTGGGGCCATACGACGAATTTCCACTGCCAGGTAAATTTTGAGAAACCATTCCGGTTGCATTACTTGTTGTGGTTGAAGAAGCCGCTATTCGTCTCTTTGCAAATGCTGGCATGAGATGTGACGAGGAAATGCTGCGGTGATCAATGTAAGACTTATGAAGGCTATGATGAGATAAGTTATGCTGAGATGATGAATTTATGTTTACTGCCGTATTTTGATCACGTCTTGAAGGAGAGCGCTGTGATCGCAAATGAGTAGATGACACTTGTACAGAGTGACTACCGCCACTTAAGCTAGAAACAATAGCCGCTTCGCTGCTTGGGCTAACACCATTTTGATATACGTTCGCACCGGAATTAAACTTCCATATACCAAGGGATTGCAATTCAGCTTGAAGATTTTTTTCAGGACGGCGACGAGAATATGAATCATTGCGAAGATCAAAAAGCTTTGTCCTACTGTAACGCTTAAATTTATCACATTTGGAAGCCAAGCTGCTAGAATTCCCAGTATAATTAGATTCAGCTAGCGGGTAATTAAAGCCTTTAAAAGACCCATGTTTGTTAACAGCCGTATCCAACGGCGTGGTTGATGATGCATTCATCTCCAGATTATTATTTTAAGCACGTTCAAATGATATCTTACTTTCTGAAGTACTGTTTATTTGAAAAAAAATTAATTGTCAACTGTTTTTGTTGTTTACTATTTTTATATCATAATTGATTAGCAAAATGATAATTACTTCGTTCACAAATCTGGTTTCTTATTCCTTACACCAATTTCTACTTAGTCTGAACATTTTGTTCAATTGGCGATATGAATTTGGTTGCACTTTTAACGCAGAATTTAAGCTATAGAATTACTTAAGGAGATTAACAATTTCCTTGATTATTGAAAAAAATTAAAATCGATTGAGACATAAACGCAGAAAATCAAACTTATCAATGTATGAACTTTATATTTGACGCTGCACACCTGATAGGTCGTACGAGCCTATTTCAATATTTCTCATTATTTCATTATTTAGCAGTATAGAAGTATATGTATAAAAAGCTTACTTTGCTTTCAAACAAATATATTGAAATCCCGAATGAAGTAATAGAGGTTACACATCCATATATAAGTTCACATAATAATCAACAAAAAATTGCTATATGCTACGTATCACTTACAATATGTAACTGTAATTTAATATCTTCCTATGCCAGGATTGTATAAACAAAAAAATACTATTTTTCTAACTAAACCACATATCTTAAATACCACTAACATAAAAAGTAAAAGCGATGTATGAAACGAAACAAATCGAGGTGGACCACCTATACATATACATTTTGGAAGTGCATAAAAGATAGCGTTGCCATATACTCATAATCCTTTATATAAAACGACTATTCATTATGACGGTTTTACACGGTTCAAGTCAAAAATGATATAATACAAAGGCATTCCCGTTTGAAGACGCATGCTAAGTAATGCAGTGTTTTTGCTGCATTTAAAATGCAACATTGAGCACTTTCGAACATATGTTTTCGAAGATCGTTCATGCTATAGCATTTAGCAAATGTACATTTACGCGAGTTCGAAATCGTATGCTTTTGACAAACAACCGGGTTCCAGTCTCTTCTTTACTACCTTACTTACCCTACTGAAAAGGAAAAAAAAAATTTTAAACCAAAGATTCAATACAAAAACTTGAATTGTTTTAACCATACCGAACATTTGTTTGTGTATATATTCATTTGTTGGTGCTGTCAATTAAAATTTCCTTACTTAATTAGGAAACAAACTAAACAGAATTGATCACAAATTGATCCAGATTTCTATCAGCATCTAATCGATGTTGAATTTGCTTAACTTTTCTTTATCCAAATATGTAATGCAAAATAAAAGAAATCTCGATCGGCGATCACTGAAACGCAGATAGCAAATGTATACTCGAAAAAGCAATGTTGCCACTTTTTTTTAAACCATGTTCGAATCGTGGAAATTTTGGAAGATCACAGGGTTGCTTTTAGCATTTAGATTCTTGATGCAAAAATGGAGTTGCATTTAGGTGATGAATTTTTTATGGATAAATTTACAATTAGGGCCGGTTACTCAATGTCCGGTTAACACTAATCTGCGGTTAAACATCATTATCGAAGTCTTCGACTCCGTGCATACAACAGGGAGTCGGTAACGTCGATAACTATGTATAAACGGAGATTAGTGTTAACCAGACATTGAGTAACCGGCCCTTAGAGTAGCATTTAGAGCTAAATGCGCTAAATGTGCTTTTACGCGTAAAGGCTGGTATGCAGCTCCCAAGAAATCGGTCAAGAAAAATTTGCCATTATTTCGTGTGTGTATCCAAGGAATTTTGACATTTTTGATACTTCACAGCCTGTTGCCTCACTCTTTCCTCAAGAAATAATGGAACGGGCATATATTTCTGTTGCAAACCTGGGTTGCCTTGTGCTCTTTTTTCACAAAAAACTTTTGAAAACTGTACTAAAAAGCGTAGCAAATTTCTTAAGAACTGCGTTGAAACCCGTCCACATACAACTTTGGCGTTGCGTTGGCGCTGGCGTCGCTTTGACAGCAGCGCGAGTAACGCCCGTGCTTGCTACAATGAACGCGTAGCAGAGAATACTTTGGTTACTAAATTAACACACTAGCGGCAGATAAATAAAAAAATTACATCAATAATTGCATTAAAAACTATATTTCTTGCCCGGATTTGATTAAAAATGAAAATTAAATCACATAATTTTGATTATTTAGAACAGCTGACGAACGACGCACGCGAAAAGTTGAGAGTTGGCCATCTTTCTGCGTTGTGTTGGCGTTGGCGTTGCCCAACTTTGGTTATATGGAGACTATCATATAAATGCATGTATTCATAGTCAGCTGTCGAAGCGACGCCAACGCCAACGCAACGCCAAAGTTGTATGTAAACGGGCCTTCAAGAAATCCGTCAAGAAAAATTTGCCATTATTTCGTGTGTGTGTCCAAGGAATTTTGACATTTTCGATACTTCACAGCCTGTTGCCTCACTCTTTCCTCAAGAAATAATGGAACGGGCATATATTTCTGTTGCAAAGCTGGGTTGCCTTGTGCTCTTTTTTCACAAAAAACTTTAGAAAACTGTAGTAAAAAGCGTAGCAAATTTCTTAAGAACTGCGTACTGCCTGAAGGAAATTTGACTTAAGAAAATTTCTTAGCCATTTCTTGTACGTCATTTTGTATGGAATTTTAGCTTTTCTTGAGAACTGCATACAGGCCTTAAGTTGTGAAACCAAACTATTTTGTTTATAAAAATAAGTACCGCTAGGAAAATTATTTTGTTATTCTATTTAGTAAATAAACATCTACTGACTCAAAACAGATCCATGATTTTGCCCGTCATATTTGTTTGGGTGGGCTTTAGATTGGTAACCCAGGCGTACACAGTAGTGCTGCCATTTGCACATATTCTGCATGTCCTCTCATAATAATTAAATAACAATCAATTTTTCATAAAAAGCTGTAATATGCTAAAAGTATTTATTTGTTTCATCATGCACACTCTAACTGCACATATATTGAGTGTAAATAACGTGTAAATTTAGCGGAAAGTGCATTACATGTTGTAAAATAGTCCCATACAAGTTGGTTAAAACTACAAACTGTAATAAAAATTACTTTAAAACTATAAGGTTCCGCGCTTTCAAAAGGATTTCATCCCCTTTTGTTTGGAAACACAGAATGGAGAGTTCTACGTAGTGAGGGTTATAATCCTTAAGCGCGGCCTAAGGCGTTCTCTACAAATGTGTTCAGCCCCATTTCATTTGCAACACAGAAAGGAGAATTCTACGTAGTGAGGGATATAATCCCTAGGCTCGGCCGAAGGCCGCCTACGCAGAAAGGTGTTCTCTAACACCATAATCCCCCATATTTATTTTAAACTGAAAAAAATAACCTTATCGTATTTTTCTTTTAATCGTCTTTTCTTTTGATCTTACTTTTCACGTTTGGTTTTTTGATGTGGCAACACATTCCTGCTGTCATTTGCAAATATTCTGCATGTACTGTCATAATAATTTAACAGCAATGCTTTTTTATAAAAAAAAAAAATGAAATATATAGAAGTATTTATTTGTTTGGTCGTGCGCACTCTAACTGCGCATATATTGAGTGCAAATGACGAGAAAAATTAGTGTAAAGTACATTAAATATTGTGAAATAGTACAATACAAGTTTGTTCAATTTACACTTTAACAAGAAATTACTGAAAAACTATAAGGTTCCACGCTTTGAAACTTTACAGACAACTATTAGCACCCCCTTAATCCCGTACTACCGGTTTAGCATACTAAAGCTTTCTCATTTGTTTTATCACTGCAATTTTTACGTCATATGTTTTATCACATTTTTTATGAAAATATGAATTTTTGTTATTAGAAAAACATTCCACTTTTTTTCAGCTATGATTCACTCATCAGATGTCACACATCGTAAAACTTTTTTCTTGAATAGCTGGCATCTCGAAATTTTATAAATACAATGGCCGCGATAGCAGTCTGCACACAAAACCATTAGCAAATTCAGCTGCTGAAATATGGTTCACTGTTTTTTTCATGTAATTGCAAATTGCAATAACTATATGCTTTTTCCTAGTAGTATTTTATATGCGCCAACATGTCAGATTAATCACTTTATTAGGCGTATTGGAATCAAACTACGGACTTTCCACAAATGCACTTAGAAGCAACACGTATGTAAAGTTTATGAATCCCTTGGCGTCGTCACGAGTTATTTCTCTCACACACTTTGTTGCAATAATTTAAATTACCAAAACAATTCGATTTTGTCAAATCTTTAAGAATAAAGCAACAAACAAACAGCAGCCGAATTGTCGAATTACCAACCAATTAGTGATGTGCTGAATTGTCGGTACCCAAATCCTGAAAAAGTTGGTACCAAGGCACATTAAACAGGTAGTATCAGTAGAGCAAAAACAACATTTGCGTGTATTTTGTTGTTGCTTCTGGTATCGAAAGTGTCAACAACTGTTCTGAATTTTTTCTTCTAAATCAAAGCGTGCCATGTGAAATACAAAAAATTATAAAAAATAAAAAATTGAAATTGGAAAATATAAAAATTGATGCAACTTTCTTTCCTAGTAAATTTGTTTGGTTCTCGAAGCATTAATCCATCCTTTATAAGGGCCAGTAATCAGCGGTTGTGCTGTTTAGTTGGGCGAACGTTCCAAAAGCTGCTATTCAATCGCTTGTTTTGTATGGAAAAAGGTGTCACATGCAAATGGATTTTAACAATTCAGAATTTTGGTGAGAAAAAATTAAAAATATTTGACATTTTCGAGACCAAATAATTTGAAAATAAATCAAATCTGCTGCTCTACTGATACTACCTGTTCAATGT